GGGGACTGTTGCTCAGAAAAGACAAAGAACGGTGAAGCATTTAACCCTCATCACCTTCCAGATTGGGTGTTGGCAGACTTTTTCTGTAAAGAGCCAGAGAGTAAACATTTTGGGCTGTGAGGTCTGTACAGTTTCTGTCTCACTCCTAAACTCTGCAAAAGCAGCCATGGACAACAGGGAAATGAATGAGCATGGCTGCATTCCAATAAAACTTTATTTACAAAAAGATGAGGCTGATGGGAAGAGAAAGGGAGGTTTAGCAGTCTGAGAACCCCCGTTCTAGGTCAATGCTAAGGTAACCACAATGTGATTAAAAAAAAAAAAAAAAGGGCACTGCATGCTTGCTTGGCAATTAACAAACAAAGAACACACACACACAAATGCCTTCATTTAGGGGCTCAAGGTCATGTGAAAAGAAATTTACTTTTTTGACATTCTCTTGATACTGTTTCTTTTATCCAAAACCATTAGTAACTATAAAAAAGATTTTCTTCTTTAAATAATTTGAATAAATGATTAAAAGCCAACAAAAGCGGGAAGCAGTCTGGCGTACCTTTTTCTCTAGAGAGTTACTCCACTCTTTCAGTAAGTTGACATGCTGCACCGCGGAGCTGGCCTCATGGGCCTTAATCTGCTGGTTTGTCCCCTGCGAGAACAGAGATGCAGTGCATTAAGCTGACCTCACTCCATCCCAGAGTGCAGCAAGACTAACACATGACCTAAACCCAGCACTAAACACAAAGAGGGGTGCCCTATTCCTGTACAGCTATTGGGCGGTCTCTAAGCCTTCGAAGGGCCATGCTCAGCAACCCCCCACTCTACCGAGTGCAGGTGGGGAGGCAGGCAAGAAGAGCAGACATCCTGTAATTGTACAGCAATCTCAAGTTCGTCATGCTCGTCGCTCCTCAAGCTTCTTACCAAGAGCCTTCTCATCTGCATTTCGTATTTGTAAGATCAAGAAATTAAATCTTAGACCTCTCATTTTTGTTCTTTTATAACTTTTTTCATTAAAAATACAAATGGGAAATGTTTAGGCACCTGCAGTTACAGCTAGACAGTGCTACAATAATCTAGTGAACGAACATGTAATCAAAGTGGGATTCTAAATAATTTTCTAGAGTATTAACTTATTAGGGAAATACACTGTATTAGAAAACGTATTGCTCCTCACTGTTCTAAGTATACTTGGAAAGTTACATACAAAACATAAACAATCTACAGAGTACATAAGATGGAGACCATTTTAGAGTCAGTAATAAGCACATGAAATAGCACATCATATATTTCAGGAAATAATCGATATGAAAATATAATTTGTTTTGATATTAGAGAATTAAGAAGCCACAGAAAGCATTTTAATGATCTCCAAAACATATACTCTGTACATAGAATATTCATATATATATGTTGATAGAAGTATTGCTATATATAAACATATATATATATACATACACAGAATGAATGGTACTACATACGACGTAACAGTGGCGAGCGCTCCGTCTCAAGAGACGGAGACAAAGGGAAGGCTACAGTCATTCTTAGTCTTGGGGTTCTTTACTTTCTAAGAAAATACTGAGACGCCAGTATCTCTGTACTGATTTCATAATAATGTATTGATAATACACATTAAATATAAAATACTTTAATTGTAATATATACTGCCCTCTGATTAGTTTTGAGACTGAGATATACGTTTCAATGAAACTCAGTTCAAATTCACTAGCAGTCTCAGATGTGTTAAAAGACCAAAAACCCCCAGACACAGGATTCTCGCAGCACGAGTGTGGTGGCGGAGAAGCCCTCTCCGCACGGCTGTTCTGGGAGGGCGGCACAGATACTGTGAGATGCGTTTATGGACACACGAGTGTGGTCCTCACGGCTGTGTACTGATGTGCACAGCGCCCAAACCGTGTCTGGTTTGGTACCCACTTATAGTCAAGTACCGGCTAAAGTCCCATAACCATCTCTCTAGGAACCACCCCCGACTGTCAGTCCTCTTTGTCCCACGTCCTCGCTGGTTTTAGATGGAGTTGTTCTGCTAACGTCCTGACTTCCTTCTCAGCACAGGGGTCCACCTGAAGTCTCAGAACACCACGGGCACGGAGAGCGAGCGCCCACGTCGGCTGCATGGGGCTTTCACCACCCATGCAGCATGGTGACTCGGTTCCATGACAAAGACTACAGTCCAGAACTTGCATGTTAAGATGCTACGATAAACTGTCTCTCATGGCAGAATGTCAGTGACTGGGAAGCACAAATGTTGGATACTGACCTGAAAAACGCAGCCATAGCGCTTAAAACTACAGGTGCTGGGGGCATTGACACACTCTGACAAGTGTGCACTCAACTGCAACGGGAAAGAGACGTGAGTTGTGGCACAAGCGTCCGCATGAAAATGTTCAAACACATTAAGGGCACAGAGAGCATCTGGTTCGTATGGTCACGAACGGGGCTTATCAGCTACGGTGTGTACACCACCCGCTTCCTAGACTTAGACGCAGTAAAGATACAGTACCGCCACGTGTACGCACATAGGTACGGCAATATACATAAATACAGTTACTGTAACATTTCTTAGAGCTGCAGTTTCCTGAGAACAAATTGTTCAAAATGTAACATGCCGTCTGCAGTGCCAGAATTTAAAAAAGAAGGAAAAAAACGTAAACTGAAATGAACATTTAAAGACTATAAACAAAAATTGCATGAAACACAAAAAAGAGAAAGCATTCAGGATGTCACCGGGTCACACATCTAATATACAGTACACAAAAATAAATATATTTTTGAAGCAAGCTTACACGATGTACCATTACTCTCAATACTCAAGATAACGAGACGAGTTTTTCCTTCTTCTGAAAAGACTTTTTTTTCCCTCTGAGTGTCCATAAATTCATGTAACTTCTCACAGATCGCTAAGGTCATTCTAACAACATGAATCTTAATACTGTCACCTCTAACTGGTAAAAGAAAATTAAGAGAGATTGGGAGAGGATAGCTCTTCATACAAGGAAAAACCCCTTTGGTTCAGCTCAAATGTTGGCAAATCGCCAAATAAAAACCACTTATGATGCCCCCTCAAGACAAAAGGGAATTGAAATGTCTACATTTTAAAGACATAGTGCTATTCATTAGGCTAATACAATTTAAGGACAGCTTCTTCTTTTATTGAAGAAATTCTCATCAGGAAACTCTAGGGATAGATCTTCTTTATAGAGAACAATTAGACCCTGAATTAGGAAAGGGGGTGTCTGAGCGCAGAGCGCACTGCAGAGCTGGCCCTGGGTTTTTCTGTGTGCACACAGGCTTCCAGAGGCTCCTGGGCCCGTCCTCTGTCACCAGGACAGAGAGTCCTTGAGTCCTTCCCCTTTAGGTCAGTATTTAGGACAGGGAGGAGCGTGGGTCTGTGGCGAGAGCTGCAGAGAAGGGCCAATGTCACGGGGAGCCTACGGGCCAATCTCTGCGGAAGGTCTCTGAGCCGGGGCAGAGTCATGGTGGTTACAGATCTAGCAGCCTAGCACACTTGATGTTCCTCTGAACCAGGCCAGGAAGCTCTGGCCTGCACCTGGAGGAAAGCGCCCAAAAGGTAGATCACAGGTGACTGGCAGAGAGACGAAGCGTGAGACTGTGTGTAGTAACAACAGCTTCAAAGTTTTAAGATCTACTCTTCCAGTGTCAGCGCTATAATCGTGAACCTATCCAGCCAACGCTTCTGGTATTAAAGTCAGGGACACAGGGGTCTGATGTCATTTTCAGTGGGGCACTATAAATTCAGGGTCACACTTTCTCTTAAACTGGCTCATTATCATTCCTCTCAGAGTCTTTATCATCATTTCTCACAGGAGCTTTGGAATAGAGGCAAGAATAATTTATAGACCAATAGCATTGTTCACCAGAAACCCAAGATAAATGCAGGTTTAAAGATTTTTAAAAGAAAAATAACTTGGAGGCAAATGGAGTTAGCGTCTGTCCCTAATTCAGGTAGCCCTGAGTGAAAACTCTGGAAAGCGTATAAAACCCTGGTAATCACTTCAACATTGCAGACGCTTCATCCATTCGCTTTAGCAGAGGGACTTCCTAGTAGCGGAAATCTATATGCATCTCCCTGCCACTCCCAGAGGCACATTCCAGGCCTAGGGACCATGGCCACCCGGCAAGACCCTGCCCTGGCCTAGCAGAGTCACCTTCCTGGGAGGACACACTCTGGGTGAGAGTGGTTCCGGGGGGGTCCTCTCTGTACCCCGTGTTCCTGGCTCCAGCCCCACATAGGTCCTCTTGCTCAGTGGGGATGTGAGAAGACAGTGACCCTCACACCTCCTCAATATCCACTGGTAAAATTCCAGGCTGCTGAAAAAGGCTGAGGTGAGCAGCCTCCTCAGATCAGAGCACCCGGGCCCGAGGGACCTGCCAGGGGACCAGGGGGCACAGGAGCCCCAGATGCTCCCAAAACAGCAACCAAAGGGGCTCCAGATCAGGACCAGATGCCAAAACATTTAAGAATCCTTGGAATTTTTCCAACTGGATATGCCCTGATCAAATTAAGTTAATGTAAAATCTACCTGTCTTAAAAAAAAGTGTGCCCAAGGGCAGTGTGAGACACATGACCTCTGGGGGAGGCTACACAGGGCCCTTCTCACTGGCCCCTGAAATGTGGAGGCCACCTCCAGGCCCACTTGCTCCCCAGCACCAACCCTGCACAGCATATGTGGCCAAATGGGTCTGGAGTGTCTGTAAAGTCATTTATTTTGAGATAATCTTAAAGTAACTCCTATTTTACAGATTTTAAAAATAGCTTTTTTTAGAACCTAAAAAGTTATTACTTTTGCTTGCACTTTTGTAAAGTAATTCCATTTTCTCAGTTCCTAACAATATTTTGCTCTGAATTTAACGACTCCGTAGCGTTTATTTGCTTGCTTCTGAAATTTCTGATGCCCCAAAATAGCGTGAGGTTCTCTGTTGTCTTTCTACCGTATGCATCACTATCATGATCTGTGAAACCTTCGATTTCAGCTACTGGGTTAGGATGGAGTCTCTGGCATGCTAGTCTCGAAGATGTCACCAACTCCTCAACAGGCCTGGCCATGCCCCTTACCTCACTCCTCAGAAGGGTCTGGACACTGCACTTATGGGGGCAGGACACCACCACACAGGGACACTCAGTGTCTTCGTGTTTCTGGAGGAAAAAAAGAAAGCACCATCAACTTTGAGACATACAACCCGCCTCCCTTCAGACCCCATTGGTATCTCCAATGTCACCATGAAGACCCAAAGGACACTCTGCTCACTGGCCCGGTTTCCTTGAGTTCTGACACATTTGGAGGAGTCCTCATGCTCAGTTTGAGAGCCAAAAAAAGATAAGGTGTCTCCGGAGATCTACCCAAACCTGACAGGTGAGGGCCATCTGTGGGAGCACAGTGGTGTGGGGGGGGCCGGAGGCGGTGTCCCCACAGCAGCCTCCACCAGACAGCACCCATTTGTGCGGGCGCACACAGGCAGACTTGGCCCTTGCTGCCACTCACACTGCAGCCCAGGGTCCAGACTTCGTTCGCTGGAGAGAAGGGTGGTTTTCTTTTGGCCTCTCAGGTTGGGGTCTGTAAATGATGCTTCTCCGACACCTTCAAACAGCATGAGCCACTGGGTATTTAAATTACCACCCTGGAATTTTACTAGGTTATCTATAGTGCATGGAAAATATGGACAAATTTTGATTTAGCCCTTCTTTGGATGGTAGGAATTTCAACTCTGCAGAGCCTGGATGACAACTGTCCAACCCATGCCAAGGGCACCTGCTGGGCATCTGTTCAGTAGCAAAGTTATGGCAAGAGCTGCCCACCAGGACATCAAATCCAAAAGCCCTGGAGAGCACCGCCAGACACATGACCAAGGGCCACTCGAGAGAGACTAATGCAGGCAGAATCAGAGCTGTAACTGCAGGCCACACAACACAACCAGTTGGACAGGCTCCTGGAGGCCGCATCACCAAGCAAGAAGGAATCTTGGTGCTGTTTTCCTCGTTACCCTCGATACTTGTGATTCTCCTCATCTGGTTTTTCAGATTAGGGCCTCCACAGTTATGCTGGGATGCTGAACGACGGGGGTGGGGGAGAGTGGGAGGCACAGCCGAGAGCCTCAGTCCAACCAGGAAGGCACAGTGTGGACCAAGGGCAGTGGGGGCCCAGGTGAGGCGCCAGGCACCGCACTCTCTTCGGCATGGTTTGAAGTCCGGTGTCTCTCTGAGCGTGCTGGGGTATGGTCTGTAGAGCAGAGATGGCTCTGCTCCTGGGCTTGGGCCTCAGAGGCCTGCAGAGGCCCCAGAGGGCAAGTCCACAACTGCTCAGAGCTCAACAGAAAGCACCTGACTGGACTGAGCCTGACCAGCTGGCCTCCCACAAGAGGCACCACATGGGGCGGGGGTGCGGCGGGGGGGGCCTGGCTTTCTATTCTGCCTGGCTGTGCTCGGATCCCTGAGAGTTCCCAGGTGCCATCAAGTCAAGGCTTTGTCTTTCAGTGGAAAACCCTGGACAAATGGCTAACACCTCCCTGCCTCATCTAGAAGTGGGAGGAGTGTCTGCGCTTCCCTCATAGGGGGGCCGTGAGGGCCCGATCAGTCATGGGCCTGGAGGGGTAACATGGTGAACGTTCCACAGACGCCAGGCCTCCTCCCTGCACCTACCCTTGAACCCACCTCCATTCCCCAGGCCCGGCGTGCACCAGGTGCTGCGGCCGGCCCGATGAAGACAGCTCGCACACAGGTAAGCACCGCTGCGGTGAGCAGAGACCAGGAGGGAACACGGGGCAGGGGGCTCTGGGAAGGGAGCTCTGAGGAGGACTGGCAGTGGGTGGGGGCAGTGTTCTAGGAGGGTGGGGCAGGAGATGGTGGGACAAGAGTCTGGGGCCAGACCCATCAGTATCTTCCAACGTCTGTCTCTGCAGATCTGTGCAAACATATCAGAAAATAAATTTCTAGAAGTAGGCTTTGTTGGGTATCAAAGGGTACAGGTATTTTAAATGGATTTTGATAGATATTGTCAAACTGCTCTCCAATACCCTACACAAACGCACTCCCGTCCTCATAGGAACATGGGCTTATACCCTTGTCAATTCCATCAGACTTTTCAATCTCTGACGTGACAGGTGGAAAAGGCAGTGAGTGTGATTTGCAATTATTTAATAATGTGTGGGAAGGTATATTTTGATATTTATTAATCATTTATAGTTCCTATGACTTGCCTTTTCAAGGCTTTTGACCACAGTAGTGGGCTGAATAGTGACCCCCAAAATTCATGTCTCTCTAGAACCTCAGAATATGACCTTATTTGGAAATCAGATCTTTGCAGATGTAATCAGTGAAGATGAGGCCCTGGTGGATTAGGATTAGGGTGGGCCCTGAATCCAACCATGGGTGCCCTTATGACAGGAGAGGACATGCCCAGAAAAAGGTGTCTGAGCAGGGAGGCAGACAGCTGCCAGCCAAGGAATGCCACGGACCACAGCCTCTAGGAGCTGGAAGGGGCAGGAAAGGGTCTTTCCTGGAGCCCTCAGAGGGAGCCCGGGCAACACCTTGGGTTTGGATTTCTCGCCTCCAGAACTGTTGAGAGACTACACTTCTGTTGTTTTAAGCCACCAGCTTTGTGGTACTTTGTTAGAGCAGCCCCAGGAAAACAACATGCCCACTTAAAAAAACGGATAACCTTTTGATGCGTATGAATCCTCTCCATACTAAGAAGTTAGTCCTGTCTACCAAATTAAATGTAACTCTGACAGGCACAGAATAGATGTAACCATACGGTGGACACCCACCAAGGACAAGAACAGAACTGATGACTTCCCGTTTACCTGTGTGTCCTCCACCTTCCCCCAGGGAGGAACCCCTAACCCGAAAATCCGAATTGTGCATTTCTACTTTTCCTTTGCTTAAAAAAGTTACATTACACATAAATGTGGGCCAGACAAAATACTGTTTTGATTGCTTTTGAATTTTATTAAAATGGAACTCTACCCTGAGTCTTCTGAGACCCGGGTGAGTATGGTGTTTCTCAGGCTAACGCTCGTGTCGTGTGTAGCTGGGGGTCCTCAGTCCTAAAATTCTCCTGCCACGTCCGTCACATGCAGTCTGCTGGGTCCACCACAACTGACATGTCCCTGCCCCAGCTGATGGATGTGTGGGGTTGCTCCCAGAGTTCTGCAGCTCGGTTATGCTGGGCCCTGTCTCCTGGTGTGTATGTGTGACAGTTTCTCTCACACAGCTAGGAGAGGGACTGCTAATTAGCCAAGTACAGGAATGTTCAACCTAATAAAACATCGCCAAACTGCCTTCCACAGTGGCTGCACCTATATGATATATTCCCGTTACAAGATACACATTTTCCCAGAAAAGGAGATCTCTAGAATTCTGACTTTCCACAAGTTAACAGAACTGTTTAGAGATCACATTCGACAGTTTCTAGACTAGATGTGACAGAGGGGATTCTCTCCTGGCACTTTAAATTATGCTGATCTATAGATTAAGAAAAAACAACTTGAAAACAGCAATGTAATGTCAATAGCATGGTTTAAACGTAGGAAAGGAACTTTTCGTATGAGCTGCAACGGGCTCAATGCTTTATCAGTCTGGATCTCATCAACACCCAGCGTACCTGATGCCCTTCATAAAACACAGGAGACGTGGGGATGTCAGGGTGACCTGGGCTGGAGATGTGCCTCTGAGATGTCTGCTCTTTCTAAAAATAAGCCCACAGCAGGGCAGGATGAGACTAAGCATGCTCCTAGCTGACAGGAGGAGACCCGGGAGCCCCATCCCAGGCCCGACAGGACAGGAGCCCTCCCAGCATGTAGCTGCCCTGCTGTGGTCCGGGAGGGGGTCACCACGGTGACCTGGGGCAGGCGAGCCCCTACCTTGTTACCTTAAAACCAGTCTCTGTTCAGCCTAGTCGGAGTTCAGAGTCAGTTACTTACATACTGTCTAACTGACACACTCTACAATTCTTTCTCGAACGAAGTTAACTCCTGGATTCTATTCTGCAAGTAAAGATAACTGGTTTTTGCAAGAAGCGAAGTATAACTTTGATAGCAACACACCAACATTGTAAGGGCTGCAATACTGCTCACTAACTATAGGTCTCACTGGTCTGAACTGAGTTATTGAAAGAACGATTCAATTAAGCCAAACACTATTCCTATTTTCTACAGTTCTTAAAAGTCCTTAATAACTGGAAATGTCTACAGAAATCGTACAGGAAAAGGACTTCACAAGAGAAGAAAAGCACAGGCACAGGAAAGTTGTACAAAGGAAGGTAAACATGTAGATTATGAAGTAGAGTACATTTCATTTCATTTCATACAGAAAAACAAAAACTTTCCCTAAATTTTGGTCAATAAATGCTCTAGAATATCCACCAGGAACCACCTGGGCCCCCACACCCTGGCTGCAAATCTCTGGTCCTCTCCCATCTTGGTCCCATCAGTCACGGTCCTGCCAAGTCCAGAGGTCATCCCCAGCAGCCCCCAGCTTCTCAGCAATGTCTGCCCCTCCTGCCCACCCCTCCCCCAGCTCTCTCTGCCTCCGGGGCACCATTCTGCTGACCTTTCCATACTGGCCACTCCTTTGCTAGATGACCTCCCCTCTTAGCAGTCTGTAAGCATTCATGTGCCCCAGGCCTCTGTCCCCAAGGCTCCAGGGACCACCTAATTAAGATGTACCAGTAGCCCAGACCACTGCCCTATTCTCCCCTCCAGCCTGCTATGCTCCACCGAGCCCCACCTCAACAGAACACTCGGCTTCATCCAGCTGCTCTAGTTACAGACATCATCCTTAACACATACTCCACATTCAAGCCATGAACCAAAACCACTGCCTCTACCTTCCCAATGTATCCCAGTGTACCTCCCTTCTCCTTCCTGCACAGGCCAACACTGCCTTGCCTCCATGTTGTCCTTTTACCCTACATCTACCTGTCACACCTGCCAGAGTGCTGCACCTGATGGGGAGCTCCGACATCACCCCCTTGCTCAAGGCTGCCCAGTGCCTGCCTGCCCCTTCCCTCTGCCCTGCTACCCATCACCTCTGCACTAGGCATGGGAGCCATGCTGGCCTCTCACAGCTCCTGAAATCCACCTGCCAAGTCAGTTCCATCACAGAGCCTGCGCACCCCTTGCTGTTGCCTTTGCTCGGGGCACTCTTCCCACACTACCTGCCTGACTGTCTTGGAGAGGCCAGCCCTGATCACCCCTTTGCCCATGATGCTAGTGCATCTTTCTTCATAGTACAAATCACTACCACACATTATGTTTGCCTATTAATTACCTCTTCCCACTAGAAGGTGAGTGTCACCACTGAACCCCCAGCTCCCAGCACAGTGCCCAGCACATAGTAGGTACTCAGTGAATATTTGTGCAAGAAATGGACAAATATTTGAGGGCTACTGTACTACTGACTGTTTTTTTGTTTTTGCTTTTTTTTTTAAGATTTTATTTATTTATTTGACAGAGAGACAGACATGGAGAGAGGGAACACAAGCAGGGGGAGTGGGAGAGGGAGAAGCAGGCTTCCTGTAGAGCAGGGAGCCCGATGCGGGGCTCAATCCCAGGACCCCGGGATCATGACCTGAGCCGAAGACAGACGCTTAACGACTGAGCCACCCAGGCACCCCTACTACTGATTGTTTTTAAAGTCTGTCCTCCACTCCCAACATTTCTCTTTAATTTACAGATAAGGGATCTGATTTCTAACACATGCACAATACAGAACTGTGCCAAAATAATCAAGGTGTGAAAAATGTGAAATTCTCATCTCTCTCCCAAGACAGACAGCTGCACTTCGATGCTGCAGGATGAATTACCCTGTTGAAGTGATGATTATGTCCCAGAGCTGCTTAAAAGATTAAGCAATCCAATAAGATTTTGAGGACATTCCCTGGGACAAGAGAAAAAATTCTACCTTTTTTTGATAATTAGTCTTCATTTTTTTTTTTTTTGGCATCCCAAATGATAGTCAATCAAGGCAATGGGAAAATGTTAATTATACAAATCAAAATGGGCAAAACAAATAAAGCTTAACTCTGAATTAAAGCCAGATGAAAACTGCCATTTCCTCCTCTCTTTTCTCTTTATTCCTGTTAGAATAGTGCTTTAAAATGCTATTCTGTGACAAATTACACTTGGATGGAGCTGCAGGTGGGGGGGGGGGCAGCGCACCTGCAGCGTGATCATCGGGACCTGACTTTTGCAGTGGCTGCACGTGGCCTCTCGGTACTTGCAGGCCTTTTCCACGTGGTCACGCAGGTCTCTTCGCAACACTTTTTCTTTGCAGTCAGCACGGACGCACGAAAGCTCTTCAAACTGGCAATCGTTCTTTAAATGCACCTGTAAAACAAACACTTCAAGGTTCTTAATTGGCAAAGAAATTCAACCTGAAATACTGAATTCTAGCCTCCAGAAATGTTTCTGCCTGCTGCTAGACCCGTTTTTCACAGAGAAGAGTGACAAATGTATCGAGAAACAATGAATTTTGTATTCTATTTAGTGATTACCCAAACTATACTGCTTTTGAAAGAGTAAGCCAACTCTTCTTCCTGGGTAAATGAATGGTTAACTGCTAAGGACTTTGTTTTATTCCAGTTCGAGTATCTTTCCAGGATAAAATGAGATGCTGATAAAAAAAAAAAAAAAGAAGTTATGTGGAATTTCATGGTTAAAAAAAAAAAGAGAGAGAAGGTTTTAACGGGCCTTCCAAAATTAAAAACCAGTTCAGATTTCTTTCCATTCTAAATAGGGTGGGGGTGTTTAAAAACCAGTTGGCAATTCTGCCAATGATGTCATAAAAATAACATTTTGTACCTCAGTGGTTTGGACTGCTATTATGTTTGGCTGTGTTTTGAAAATCAATGTAACCATGGTCTTAGGGTACCACATCGTACTGATCAGGGAGTTATATTTCTTTTTTTTTTTTTTTTTTAAGATTTATTTATTTGACAGAGAGAGTGTGAGCAAGTGTGTGCGAGTTGGGGGAGGGGCAGAGGGAGAGGGAGAAGGAGAATCTCAAGCAAACTCCCTGCTGAGCACGAAGCCAACCGGGGTGGCGGGGGGGTGTTCCATCTCACCACCCTGAGACCATGACCTGAGCCGAAATCAAGACGCTAAAGCAACTGAGCCTCCCAGGGCCCCAAGATGTTCTATTTCTTACTGTGAGCATGGAGCACAGCCCCCTAGGACTTACCAGCAGGTGTCCCAGTGCCAATTGCTCTGTGCAACCTCCACCTTCATTTCTGCAGTAGATCTGAAGAGCGAGGATCTCTCTCTTGCAGCAATTATCCTTAAACACCTGAAATGGGAAGATAGTTATTTCAGAGGATTAATATTTCTTAATCTCCACATGCTGCTACTTCAGAGAAGGCAAAACCACTTTAAAAAAGTCACGAGTGCATCTCTTAAGTGGACCTCAGAAAGCATTAAGGACTAACTTAATTTCTAATTTCTAGAATAGAATGAAGGAGATGTCCCCACTAAGAGTCACAATTTAAATAATACAATCTTAACTACCGTCTTTTATTAGATAAGCCAAATGAAAACAAGTTACACCAAATAATTAACTCTGACATAATCTCAAGGTGGGGATGCACCAGGGCCAGGTTCGTATTTGGACTCTGGAGACTTCCAGGAGCCAGCTCTGTGGGGCTGTCCATGGGTGGAACATCCTATCAAGGCACAAGGGCAGAACCCACTATCACTCAATGCCTCTTTAGGTCGCTTGCTAAAGAAACAGCAAGACTACTGTAAAAGATCATATCTTGCAGATGGTTTGTAAAACATTTTAGTTCTTTCTCCTAAGGTTTGGTCCCTCGTAACTCATTTTT